CCTCCTCTAACAAGGGAATTATTGATGCCAAGCATATCGTGTGGAATTTTAGTTTCTTCTTTGAGTGCTGGTCCCTATGGGTATTCCTCATGTGAGTGCACCTGTGTGCCATGCCCCCGAGTCTGGAGATTCTAACAGGCAGTGTCCATTGGTGCACACAGGCACAGTAGATCTCCTCGTACTCCTGACTGAGGGCAGAAGAGGCAGTGTGGGCTGATGCCTCTCCAGTTCCTTCTTACTGCCATATGACCTGAGCTGGAACCCCTGTGTCCACAGATTTCTCCAGCTTTTCTCTTGATCGAACCTGTGAATAGATTTATAAATAGTTTTTAGACTTCATAGCTTTTATATTAGTATAGTTAGTATAGCTTGGTTTTGCCCTACTGTGTTCTGGGACTATGTCCAGAGTCCCAGTGTTTAAGAACTGCATCTCCCATCCTTGCTCCTTTTCCATGAGTGACTATCACCATCACCAGCTCTACTGCTTGGGCGGGACACATTTCTCTGCAAAGTATATTGTGTCGTATCTTGTTGATCATTTCCATCAAGAACTCATGAAGCTCATCAGCTTCATCTAAAGAAACACCTTATGGAGAAGGCTATGAGGTCTCACCCTGATGTGGGCCAGGGAGACCCCCCACCCCGTACATTGGCCTTCACAGACAAGCAGCAGCCCTCCGAGCACTCCTATGGGAGTTGAGTGCACTGTCATGGTCACAAAGACAGATCCCCATCCAGGACTGTCCACAAGAGACATAATCCTTCCCTGAGTCCGTTGAGATTGGATGAGCCTTTGTGCATGGATCCTAAGAGACCAGCACTGCTGAAAACCACCAGGCAGGAGAGTAAAGCAAGCCAGAAGAAAGATTTACTGGTTCCATAGGTGGCACAGGCTCCGAAACACAAGGACTGTCATCTTCTGGTTCCATCTAGGAGTGCAAGTCCAGAATTATCATTGGTGCCAGCTCATTCATCCAAGGGCTGGACTACCTTCCAACACATGCTGGAACCAGGGTCCCAACTGCTGGAAACCCGCCCCCATACACCGGGACTTACAGAGACACATACAGCACCAGAGGATATCTTTCCTCCCTCATCTTCAGTATACCCTCCTCTTAGACTTGGCCCTCCTGAGGGACATTACTACACCAGAGGATGATATTACTTTGGTGTCTCAGGAACTGTCTCATTTCCAGCCATTGGGCAGGAATGCCCCAGTACTGACACCCCCACCATTGGAAGGGCAGCAATTTTTGGACTCAGATGAGTCAAATGTTCCAGCCGCTCCTCCATCTCTGTGGAGAAAGCCCAGCTCTGACAGGCAGTCGAGGAGATCTGGGCACTACCTGTCCAGATATGATTTCCTCAAGGACTGCTAGTACCATATACCATGGGGTTCCCCAGAAATGGCTGACCCCTTTTTCTGGCCTTACTGGGGACTGTGGGTTCTCTATGGCAGATGCCTGGGACCGGGCCAGGAATCTTACCACACTTCTCCTTCTCACCCACCAGATCCATCTGAGTATGAGGAAGAGGATGTTGATCTAGATCTGCAGGTACCAATATGAATATCATTCTCATCTCTGGACAGTCACTCCTTCCTCTCCATCTCTGCTAGATGATCATAGGCAGTACCAGGAGCTACTACAGAGGATTGCCAATGACCTCCAGATACCGCTAGAGGAGGTCCAGGACCCACAATACCAACTACTGGATATTTTGCAACCTGCAGGCCCAAGTAAGGTGGTACTTCCAGTTAACGAAGTCATCATGGAGCTGGTTAGATTGGGCTGGCACACTCCAGCATCCTGCACCTAAAAGAGCCAAGAGGTGCTATTTTGACCCCGCCAAGCAAGCTGAATTTCTTTTCTCCCACCCCTCTCCCCCAACTCTCTGGTGGTACAGGCAGCTACAGAGAGGGTAGGTCACAACATCAAAGGACCACCCTGATTGAAAAGACTCAAAGATGTCGGACCTTCTGGGCAGAAAGGTCTTTTCCTCTATGGGTCTGCAATTCTGTATTGCTAACTGTCAGGTCTTGTTATCAAAATATGATTTTAACAGCTATTCCAGCCTGGTGGCCTTCAAGGACAAGCTTCCCCTTGAGGACAGAGCCCAGTTTCACTCCTTTCATAGAGGAGGGCAAATTAGTGGCAAGAACATCCCTTCATGCTGGAGTGGATGCAGCAGATACGTCATCCAGAGGCCTGGCTGCTGATATCATCATGAGGAGGAATTCTTGGCTGCAGTCTTTGGGTTTCCCTAGGGAGGTCCAGAGTACCATACAGGACTTTCCCTTTGACAAGTTGAATCTCTTCAGTGAAAAAATGGATGAGTCCTTACACTGGTTAAGAGTCAAGATTGACTCTGTGCTCCCTGGAGATTTACACTCCAGCCCAAGGAGATGACACCAGAGACAAGCCTATTGGCCAAGGTCACCCCCTCCTCAAGCATTCTACCACAAGTGTCCAGCTGAGCCTCCATGAAAACAGAAGGTTCAGAGGCCTCATTTTTCAGTCCCCTCTACCACCATGACCTCTACCCATTCCCAGCCACCTGCAAAGACTACTTTTGACATCTTAGTTTAGACCTGCGTACCACCAGTGATGCCACCCACCTCTACCCCCATTATTTTGGGGGGCTGTCTTGCAGTCTTTGCCCATAATTGGGACTTGATCACGACAGTTAGTTTGGTCTTGGAAATTATCCATCTATTGCGTTCTTCTCTCTCTCTCCCTTCACAAACCCCTTCAAGGACCACTCTCATGAGGTGATTCTTCATCAAGAAGCAGAGTCCCTTCTACAACAAGGGGCAAAAAAGCACATCTCACCTCAGTATCAAGGGAGAGGGTTTTGTTCCCCATATTTCCTAATCCCCAAAAAAGACAGAGTGGAGACCCATTCTGGACCTTCAGCAACTAAACATCTATATTCGAAAGTCGAAATTCAGAATCATTATGTTAGCATTGATAAGCCCCTCCCTACAGGAGTGGGTGTGGTTCGTGGCTCCCAACATGAAGGACACATACTTTCGTGTAGACATTCATCCTTCCCACAGAAGGCTCCTGAGTTTTATGGTGGGCCAAGAACATTTCCAGTTCATAGTCCTTCCCTTTGGGCTAGCAACCAGCACTCAGAGTGTTTACAGAAGATTTATCTGTGGTGGCAGCCTGAATGAGACATCAGAATTACACAGTTTTTCCATATCTGAACGATTGGCTCTTGGTAGAGGGCAAGTCAGCGATGGAGTTTCTGCTTCATCTTCTAGCACCCTTGGGCGTCTGCATAAACAAAGAAAAGTCTGTTTTATCACCCACACCAATGATTAACTTCTTCAGAGTGACACTGAACACTGTTTCTATGAGAGCCTTCCTTTCCACAGAAAGGTTTCAGTTAATGAGCAGCCCGATAGCATGGATTACTCGCAGATCAAGAACAATGGTCAGACTGTGCCTCTCGCTCAGGCACTTATGTCATGCCATTCACCAGGCTTCGTCTATGATGTCTATAGGCTTGACTCTGGTCAGTCTACTCATCAGACAAAGATCATATCAACTCCAGAGTGACTGTTCCCACCAGAGTCATTGCCTCCCTCACCCGGAGAGAGTGAGAGTGGGCATTCCTTTCAGTTCTCCCACCACCATTTCCACTTCTGTAACAGGTGCTTCCCTTCTGGAGCACTCACCTGAACAACCAGTCTGCACACACTACCTGGACCCCATGGGAGACCAGACTGCACATCAGTGTACTGGAACTGAAAGCAGTCTACCTGGCTTGCAGAGCCTTTCTCCCCTTTATAAATTCACTCCATATCCAAGTAATGTCAGACATCACCAGCACGGTCTTTTACATCAACACACGGTGTTGCAAGATCTCTTCCCCCTTTGCCTGAAAGCAGTCAGGCCTTGGAACTGGTGCATGAGAAACTGCATCACTATCCAAGCTGTTTACCTTCCAGGGGCTCAGAACTCTTTAGAAGACAACCAGAACACGCACTTCTCTGAGGACCGCGAGTGGGAGATTCATGACCGTCCTGAGTGAAATATTCACTCAGTCGGACACACCTCAATGGGATTTCTTTGTGTCCCAAACAAACAGAAAACCTCCCCTGTACTGCTCCAGAGGAGCTACGGGCCACAGCTCCCAGGGCGACACTCTCCTGTTACCTTGGACAAATGACACCTTTCCTGCCATTCCCCTGCTACCACACATCCTGAGAAAGACCTGTCACAACAGTCATTCTTCTAGCACTCAATTGGTCCATCCTGAAAATGTCATCCCACCCCCTGATCAAGATCCACCCCTTCCTGAACCTCCTAACACAGGAGCGGGGCAGAATCAGACCCTCCACTCTGGACTTGCTCCATCTCGTGGTCTGGTGGTTTAGATGGGCATCAGAAATGGGACTCTTCTCTCTGGCACCCATTCAGGCTATCCTTACCCAAAGTAGGAAATTTTCAACTACCTGGGTGCAGAATAATCAGCCTTCTCCAAGCACTGCAGATACTCTAGTTGTTTTAAATTATTGTTTTAGATTATCTCCTGTCTCTAAGAACCTCAGGCCTTTCCATTAGCTCACTGCGGGTTCATCTTGCAGCGATTAGTGCCTTCTTCCCTCTGGTTAGATGGATGTTCTGTTTTCACCCACCCAACTGTCGTAAAATTCATGAGGGACCTAGTCAGGATCTTTCCGCCAGTAGTCAAACCTACACCTCAATGGGACCTCAATCTTGTCCTGCCAACACTCACCAGACCACTGTTTGAACCCTTGGCAACATGCTCCATGTCCCCCCTGTCCATAACAGTTGCATTTTTAGTTGCTATCACTTCGGTCAGGAAGGTGAGTGAGTTGGGTGCCCTCAGGACAGACCCTCTTTATGCGGTTCTTCACAAGGAAAAGGTATGCTTTCGCCTCCATCCTAAGTTCTTCCCCAAGGTTATGTCTGAATTTTGTTTCAACCAAAGTGTCCACTTACCTGACCTTTTTTTTTCTGAAACTCCAGAGTTTTCTTTGAAACTCCAAAGAAGGAAAAACTCTTACCTTGTGGCAAACAGCTCATTCCAAGCAGCCAGGACTCCGCTCAAGGGTCCTATGCAATGAACAGGTATTGCATAACACTGGGCATTTTAACAGCGTCATGTATATAACCAGTCTGTTTTTAAAATGGACAAAGTTTGAACATTGTTGTCACTGTTATTTCTGTCCAGATACTAGACTGATGTAACAGAAGGCTGTTATATTTATAGACAAAATGAGGTGACAATATCTCAGGTGATCAGCAATGGGAAATGAAGCCTGTTCCGTTTCAAATCCAGTTTAGGTTGATAGCAACTCAAAGGGTATTGCCACATAATGGCTCATTTGAAATATATTGGTGACCTCACCCAATTTGCTGGTAGATAGGATTCACATTACAAATGTCACCATTTCTAGTTGGCAATCTCAGCAAAGGGGGCCAGGGATTAAATGGGTCTGGAAACTGAATGATCCCTTCACCACTAGCAGTGGTTCCTCCAGGTCAGGAATGAGGCCCATTGGTGGGTTTGAGAAAGGGTGCAGTGATGCTGCTCATTGATGGGAGCGAAGGCACATTTAGTCCCTATGGAAGCCTGCTTTGGATTTTAAGAGTCTGTTCTGATAATGTTTAACTGCATATGTAGAACTGTGCATGTGTAAGAATTTGCAGAATAATCCTGTTTGTGAGAACAATAAAAAATAAAGTAACTAAAAAGCTAGAAAGGACCAGTTTGAACTTTAAACATGTACTGAGGTGGGAGGAGAGTTAACAGGGAAATGAGAGACTGATACATATGTAAAGAAAAGTTAACTAAATGTTATAAATGTTTGTGTAACAAAGGGAAGCTGAAACTGCATTGTCTGGTGCTGGTGGTGACTTCTGATGAGATGGTCCTGATGAGTTTCCTACTTGTGAGTAATTGATCATTACTTGCTGAGTGCTTTGCCTTAGTAAATATTTGTTAGCCCTATCTGCTGAGTAAGTGAATCTCAATCCAACATTCGTGATTCCAGTGCCCATGGGCTTTCAGTCTGGTACAATTCCTGAACTGAGAACACTAAGTGTCTTCTAAAAGATATGCTCTTGTTCACTTAGGTAGTTGGGAAGAATAATTCTCTTCTCTGCAGGAATCACTGTTGAGCTTATGTGAGTTTAACTGTTTTGCATGAATGTGTGCCTCAGTTTCTCTGTGTGCTGCACCAATACCTCAGTAGTGGGAATAGGAGTGTGTGACTTTGGCTGAGACCTCTGGGGCAGGTGAGACTGTTCCAGCTGTTTGCATGTATGCTATGACTGGTGCCCTTCATAACCTGAGACCCAGGAGGGGGATGCAACCAGGTGATTCTTTGCCTGGGAAGTGACACAAGGGGAGGAGCAACAGGGGTATCTGAGGTTGGGTTGCTGGAAGCTGTCAGTCTGCTTGGGAGATTAGAAGAAGGGGAGTCCAGGCTATCTGGCCCAGGACTCCCCAAGATGGACTTGGATGAAAGTCACTGATTTCTGTGCTGACAAGTTCTGTTCTACGCTGTGTTCCTGTTGACTAATAAACCTTCCATTTTACGCTGGCTGAGAGTCACGTCTGACTGCGGAGTTGGGGTGCAGGGCCCTCTGGTGTGGAAGGGGATGCTGAATGCTCTGAGGTCAGACCCAGGAAGGTCAAAGCTGTGTAAGCTTCTTGCCCTGGAGACAGTATGCTCAAAGAGAGGAGGCATGCTCCCCCAAAGTCCTGACTGGCTTCGTATGGAGTAGTTCCAAAGCATCGCCTCGGTGACTCCACCACAGGGTGAAAGAAAAATACATTTAAAAACCCAAGTGGCCTCCACTGAGTTTTCACCTCTGTATGATCTAAACACTGGCGCTAGTGTGGTGCTTATTCATAGATTATAGGGCCAAAAGGGATCACTGTGATCGTCTAGTCTGACCTCCTCTATAACTCAGACCTTAGGACAGGGGTGGCCAACCTGAGCCTGAGAAGGAGCCAGAATTTACCAATGTACATTGCCAAAGAGCCACAGTAATACATCAGCAGCCTCCACATCAGCTTCCCTGCCCGCCCTGCTCCCAGTGCCTCCCGCCCACTGGCAGCCCCGCCCCCTCTCTCCCTCCCCTCCCCTCCTGATCAGCTGTTTCATGGTGTGTAGGAGGCTTGGAGAGGGAGGAGCGAGGGCACGGCAGGCTCAGGGGAGGGAAGGGGGCAGGGCCTGTGGAAGAGCCAGGGGTTGAGCAGTGAGCACCCCCCGGCACATTGGAAAGTTGACGCCTGTAGCTCCAGCCCCGGAGTCGGTGCCTATACAAGGAGTCGCATATTAACTTCTGAAGACCTGCATATGGCCACCCCTGTCTTAGGACTTCCCTGACTTTCCAGTGATTAGTTACTCTAATTATTAAAAAGCTGGACCTTATTTCTAGTCTGAATTTTTTCAGCCATTGGAACTTGTTATATTTTTGCCTGCTAGACTCATGAGCCCATCATCAAATTTTTGTTCCCTATGTCACTACTTCCAGACTGATCACGTCACCTGTAATCTTCTTGTTATTAAACTACATAGATTGAGCACCTTGAGTCTATCACTATAAAGGCAGGTTTTCCAATCCTTTAATCATTCTCCTGGCTCTGCTCTGAAACTGCTCCATTTTATCAACATCCATCTTGCATTTTAGACACCAGAACTGGATACAATATATAAGTAGTGGTCGCATTAGTGCCAAATACAGAAGTACTACAACCTCCCACTCTTATTATTACTGCAATAGGGGAAGGTGGGAGGAAGGATGTCCCACTGGTTTTGACACTAGTTTGTGACTCAATAAACCTGGATTCAATTCTTTACTCTGCACAGGCTTCCTGTGTGATCTTGGGAAAGTCACAAGGTTTCTGTGCCTCAGTCCTACATCTGTAAATTGGGTACAATAGCACAGTTCTACCTCACAGGGGTGAGGAGAGGTGCTCAGATAACAGTTTAGGGACCAAATAAGTACTGATAGTGATATTCCTCAGTCTGCAACCATGATTATTACAATTGAGTTAGGTCAGAGTTACAACATGTCTGTTCCATTTTACACCACTCTTTGTTTTGAAAGGGGGAACTTAAAGGTGACCCAGCTAAGGAAAAAATTAAGCTTATGTACTTTTTTCCCCACTATGTGATTTAAGAAGAACTGAAAGGAGAAAGATGACTGGAGAACTAGTGAAATATTGACACCACAAAGAAAGCTGAGCAATTGTGAGGGGAAGGGAGTCTCAATAGTTATTAACGCCAATGTTTAATATACACTTGGGAGAAAGGATGTCATAGTTAAAGATTTAAAACCCTGTCTCTTCAATTAAGGTATGACACTTCTCATCTCTGTGACCTTCTACATGTGTTCCAGCAAAGCTAGGGCAGACTGAGCTTGGCATGCCTGGTATAGCTCAGGTTAAATTAGGAAGAACCCCCCATTCCCTTAAAATAAACATCCTTGAATGTTTTCTTAATAAAAGAATACTTAAAAGGGCACAAACTCAACATTTTTGAATCTCATTTGCTGTTCATCATTAACCTGCCCCCTGCCCCAAACTGCTAGCTACAGCCAGATTTAAACACAGCTGCTCTTTCTATTGCAGAATGTAGCTGGGTTTCCCCTGATCTTGTGAATGAGGTCATTGCATTTTTCTACAGTCAAATCGTGGCGTATAGACTATCCCTATTAACTAGTGTATAGCACAAGTCTAAAATAAAAAAATCCCTGTTCACTCTTGACAGGAAAACCATGGTAATATGTATATATCTCTCAGCACAATTATAGCTATATCACAGTTTTAATTCAGGTGTGGACAGGGCTGTGCTTTTCGTGGGTATCCCCTACCCTAGCTTAATATGTTATTGTGAATCTTGAATTTCATACAACATAAAATGAATACCACCCTTTACTCAACTGCTGGGTCATCCAAAGCTGTAAAAATCCAATCAGTTGTCCCATTGGGATTCACTGTTGTCAGCAGATCATGGAGCTGCCAAACAAATCCTTTTAAAAAATATTTTATTACAAAACAAAATCCACAAAATCTATCATACAAATGCAGAGTTTGTTAACTTTACAGTTATTTATACACAAAACTTCAAACAAAGGTATTGGTATCCTGAAGAAACATCACAACTTGCAATGTCACGAACTGAAAATGATTAATATTTAAATGGTTTGTTTATTGGCTTTGAAAGCCTTCCACATAAAGTAGTTTTTTGAAAGGCTAATTTGAGCTCTTTTTCATTATGTTAATGCTAGAAAACCATACTCTGCAGAATAATTTTTAATAATTAATTGGTTTCTGATTCAAGGACTTAATTTGTATGGTATTAATGACAAAAAACATTTTAGTGACAACTTGAAAATGTTAATTTAATCAAAAATACCTAAAACAAACTATTGGGGTTTGTTTAAATTAACATCATGTATTTTAATAGATGGCATAACTCCATATTTATATAAAATTATGGAAATCTGACCTTACAAAAGGGGCAGATAAGTAGCCGAAACTCACTTTAAAAAATGCAACTGAAAAAAAAAATCACAGAATATTACAGATTAATTACATTGATATTTTTGGAGCAAATATTTCTTATCAGAGTCCACATTACGAAATACAAAATAAATTTAATTTTATTCCATAATATGGGCATGTCTGGAATGAATGGGGCACAAAAGCACACTGTTACACTATTTTGTAAAAACTAGCCTCTGGGGCACAATCAAGAAATGATACTGGGGCACTTAATTTAAGGCGTCGTTTTCTCCCCGTCAATATGCTGAGCTGTTTAAAATACCCAAGGCACTAAAATGTTGGTTTGGTTTTCTTTTGTGACGATGAATTCTACAAAATGATACAAATATAAAGCTACACTATGTAGATTGTTTGCAGAATACATATTTTAATATAAATATAAAAGGTTGACGTGAGGGATTCTTTTTATCGTAACAATTCTTGGTAATCTTTGTATATTCAGGTACATTTACATTAGCAGCAATTGTGGTATATTTAGATAAGATAAAAAAGAGCTGTCTGGGTTAGATTTCTCTTTACAATGCCCTTCAAATTTCACGTACAACAGCAAAGCGCTGCTCCTGCTTTAAGCAATTTTACTTTATCTGCATAAGACTGATATATTTCATTTGATATCACAAGTATTTTGTTTCTAATTGCAACCAAGTACTTCAGTACATATTTACAGTGTCCTTCTGCAAATACATTTTACAAATTAAGTTGGAGTACCTCTCCCTCTGACACCCACACCCCCACACACCGAAGAAGTACAGATGATCACTGCACTAGGAGAACATAGTATGTTTCTGATCTAGAGACAGGTGCTTCAGTTTGAGTATTTGATTTTCAGAAACATACGGTGCTGGTGAATTAGTCAGTCACCTACCCTAAGTTTCAGATTTGCTTTCTGTCTCTGAAAACACAGTTCAGACATGCCTTCATACCTGATGGTCAATCGAAAAGTTCTGCTTGGGATTGATCAGTGAGGTCTTCAGTGCATTAGCAGTCTGTTTCTTTGCCCACTGAAGTCAATGGTGCAGAATCAGGGCCTTAACTCCCCACTGAAATCAGTCAGGATCAGGTCCTTGGTCATTATAGCTCAGTAATATCCATGGACCACCTAAGAGTTGGCAGGGTATTGCCATGGGAGCTTGGAAGTAAATCTGGGATCTTTGGACCTGGGACTGCTGGATTTTAATTTGGGAGGCAGAGGACTATTGTATCAGACTCATTTCCACCAGCCCTACCCTTAGGTCCAACACAGACAAGGGGCGATGGGCTATTTCAGAACCTTCTCAGGTGGGGTCATAATGCCACAGAGCTGTTGGCCAGTCCCAAAAAAGAAAAGAATACTAGTTACAACAAGGTATTTACAGAAAGCAGAGCAAGGAA